TACAAATAGAAAAATAATTCTAAACCTAAAGATTTCTAACTACATTTGTATTACATAAGGCACCCAATGTGACATTATACTCCCTATTTCCTATAAAATGCAATAGTCAATTATTTCAAATTAATTTCTAGCTAGGATAGGTTGGAGGAGACCTAAATAGTAAAATTTTAATTGATAAAATATTCAAAAAATTATACTTCTATATATTGTAAAATTTCACCTAATTGGCTCAAATTCATCCAGTTATACAAAATAATTGATTTTGATTAGTTGATATTATATGATCATCATATGATTTCTATAAACAACTTTTGATACCTAAAATTTAAATATTCATATCATGTCAAATATTGAACTAATTTTAATAATTTTACTCTCATTAAAATTAGAAAAACCTGCTCTATAATTTTTACTTATTAGCCTAAAAGAATTGGTTTAATAAAATTTTATAAAATTTTAAAAAGAAAAGATAAATACTGAAAATTTAAATATAAGTACCCTACTCTTAAGATTAGAATTTAAATTAGCTCAAATTAATTAGGTTTTATATATTATAATCTGGTAATAATTTATATACCCACCTATACTAAAGAAAATTCAGATTTTATAATAAACAAGTATAAGTGGGCTTTAGGGGCTCAAATAGAAACCCTTCATTTCATTTTAATCCGATTTCATTATGATTTGCAACATTAATTGATTTGCAAATTCGTGTAACGTACAAATCAAAACAATTTGTATAGAACGAAAAGTTAGACGTTACCTAAGGTTAGGGTAAGGATGAATTTGGATAGGGGTGGGGAATAGCTTATACCAAAATTTCACGAAAAAAATTTTTTTTTGTTAGAAGCCAAATGGTTGTTTCATAACAAAATTTTAAGATATAGGCTGGCTTTTTTATACACCTGTGTACAATTAGAAATTGTCTAAGTAATATTTTACTAAACTTGTCCCTTTACCCAACCTTTTAAATATCAAATTAACGGTATACTTGACTAATAACCTCATTGTGATTTTCGCTAATTTAACATATATTGCTATTTTAACTATTACTAACAATACATAGTAAAATTAAGCTTCTAAGTTAACTTCTTAGGATTACTGATTATTTTTGATTTTTTGCAAGGTGAATATTGATGACTCTTGATGCTAAAAATGGCCTTTACAATGATGTTTTATTACTGTAATGAAACGTTATATTCTCAAAGGCACTTTTAAAAGCGTATAAATAAGTTACCCGGGCATGTATCAACAAATCATACAAACAAATTTCATTAAAATAATTTCAAATGTCCTATGATGGTTAGGATTGAACATTTTTGGAAGTCGTATAAAGCCTTTTAGTATTTTATATGTGCCCACGTGCCTTTTAATTTACAAATCGATTAGTAATCAATTTAAGAACCTACCCGGCTTTAGACTATTTCCATTTTTGGGGAGACTAAAGAAGTTTACTTATCGTAATTTGCGTGGGTAACACAAACCAAAAAAGGAAATCGAATTTTGTAAATAAACCAAGTGCGTAAAGATAAAAAGTTTAGGGTTAGGGCGTTAACATTAGATGCTATAACAATATATTGTTGCTTGTTATATGTAAAATTTCGTTCCAGGCATTTTTAATTAGTGCACCAAGGTCTATTAAACACTAGTTTTTGAGTATTTTCCCTTTTTTCTTCTTTCGTACGCATGTCGGACTGATCCGGAACAGTCAAATTTTGTGCACTCTGATTGGCCATTTCCTTTTTAGGGTTTGTATTACTCGCACAAATAATTGCGTGCACGCTAAAGCCTTAATTCTGTATCGCCAACAAAAAACCGGGGGATGAGCTAAAGCCTTGTGGGATGATTCTATTATCACGTCGGGGTTCGAATAATTAAGCTCCGTAATATTGCTATTCAAAAACGGAGTTTGAATATTCGAACCCCGGAAGCATCCCACAGGCTTTAGCCGACCTCCATTTTTGTATAAACAATACTCTCCGTTTTCATTTAGGAAAACTCCGTTCCTGATACAAATGCCAAATTTTATTTAATTAAATTAATGTACTGATCAAAACTACTATAGGTTATTTTTCTAAATACACATTACAATAACGAATTATCATCTTTATTTTTTGAAAATAATGACTGACTATCATGACAATGCTTCCGAAGATTCAGAAGATTATGAAAGATTTAGGACATTGATAGATAATGATGAGACAATTACATCAAGTGAATCTGCTGATTTTCCGGATTCTTTTTGGGATGATTTTAGAAGACTGAATATAAGTAGCGACCGTTTGAGTCGTAATGAAAGAGAGGTTTCTATACCCGAATCCCGATCGTCCACTGACACAAATGCTGAAAATTCCATAACTTTTGAATTAAATGCTGCTAATGTTGAAGTTACTAGTACAACCACACCTGCTGGTACTTCTGAAACTGAAGCTAGAATTATTGAAAGAAGAAAAGAGGCTAATTTAAGAACGATCGTTGAAATTGAACGATCAATGAATGTTAGTCTTTGTTATGTTTTAGACTGTACCGGTATGCATCCCATGGTAAATTATTTATTATGACACTATTTTTATAGATATTAGTTAACTATGTCATCTAATTTAATTCAGCCTCTATGAGTCGTCATATCGCTGCTGCAAAGGATAGTATTTTACAGGTGACGGAATTCTTTAAAAGCATCAATCCATGTATTAAACTTAGAGTTGGTTTTTATGGTTACCGTGACCATTGTGACGGTATCTCTCGCTTGCAGAAATTTAATTTTACAAGCTCGTGTGAGGAATTCAGAGCAAATTTGACTACCGTAAAAGCTACGGGTGGTGGTGATGAGCCCGAAGATGTTCTTGGAGGTCTTAATGCTGCTATAACTGAAATGGAATGGGGAGATGGTACTAAAGTTCTTTTCCACATTGGTGATTGTCCACCACACGGTAGACGTTTTACCACTCTGAAAGATACTTATCCAGATGGTGATCCAAATGGGTTAACAGCAGAGTGTGTATTAGAAAAAATGCAATCAAAAAAAATCTTTTATGTATTTGGAAAAATTACGAAAAAGACTGATACCATGATTGAAGTATTTAGTAGTATTATTGGTGAATTTCCAATTTTCGAACTTGTTGGCGATGATCCACTTGAATTGATTAATAAATTTGTCGCTGCAGCTACAAGATCTGTTAATATGTCTATTACGTTAATTCCCTTTAGTAAGGTCGAATATAATGCACGTTTTCCGCGGGAAGGACGTGATATTAACCCAAATGTACCTGACTGGGAGCGTTTATTATCTCGAAAAGGAATAATTTTATGTTATTATCTCCCTAAAAATGTTGAGGAACTTAAAAATACATTATATTTTGAGAAAGAAAATCTCATTGCTAAACACTTTGATTTCAAGATTGCATATGAGCCATTTGCTGAAGGTGAAGAAAGATATAGTTATTTCGCTATTAATACTAAATGCAATCCACCCAGGCGAATAGTAATGAAAGAGTTTCTTAGTAAAAGAGAAGATACATTTGAAAAATATCTTGAATCTGTGGAGATCTCTGCTATAACTACTTATCTTAGTATAAAATTCAATTCAGCAGCAGGAAGGAAAAACATTCCACTTGTAAATTTTGTTAGAGTGCATCTTGTGCGTGCTACAATGAATAGCAGGACGGTTTATTATTCCGTGGAGCCAGAATTACAAGGTGCAGAGTTTA